ATAAAGGTAGCAATGTAAACATACCTTGTATAGACATAAAGGTAGCATGCTGCCTTACTGGTAAGAAAGTCATGAAACTGGTCCTTTTGCTCTCAAAAACCCAATATAAAAGATAACAGCTCTGTAAATGAAAGAGAGCCAAATGGAGAAAAACAGGAGACTTATTCTACCGAGTTTTTAACAGTAGAAAATATGGAGGGGGATACACGCCATAGGGCCCAGCTGTAGTTTGCTATTGGGCTGCCTGGGTTATGATCCAGACTCTATTCCTTTGCCTATCAACCAATCTTAGAGTTGCTCAACTACAGTGTCGGTCTAGGGTGGATGAGTTGATGCAATTATTAGAGGAATACTGAAAATAATGACCTTAGAATATTTGAGTCATATAGAATATGTGGCTATTGCTCAGAAGTATTTTGAGATAGAATATAAACTCCTTGTCTTTATTCACCTTTCCTGATTTTGTTTTTCCAAAAAAGAGGAGGACGTTTTAGGCCTTCATCAAATAATGAGGAGAATTTTTGAAATAGATCTTCTAGACTGATATATGTGGAGTTTGAAAACTTTGCATTTTAAAAATGCATAATACAGTAGTATTAAACTCCTTAAGGTCATAAAATACCAAACAAACTCTGACTTTTTGGAGTAGTGGGAAAGGTATATTAAGTTTGGACCTGATATAAGCTTCCCTCGGCACAAACTTTTTTGAGAACCTTCTGCTGTGGGATGAGCTATGCCTGGATGATAGAGATGGATCAGTCCACCTTGCTCTGTGGAAGGAAGGACATGGTCACACGATGAAAAATTCCAAACAACTGAAAGAGCAAACTGACAGAGTTGCCTGATTCCCTTCCTAGGCATAAGATGAAGTTTAAGATAAAATACATCATCCCTCTGAATTTCTTCTGGGTGAGTAACTATGGGCAATCAGGAAGAGCTGACCACAGTGCTACTAGCAAGTCCATCGTCCTGCACTGGTCCAAGAAAAGAGTTGTGGCCACCTTCAGGTAAGACTACCAGCTTGCACCAGCATTTTCACACTATAGACTGTGAAAATCTAGGGTTACCTTGGTCCTGTCTAGCACACAAGGAATATATAGATGTCTCAGAAGTTTTTTAAAATGAGAATCCATTTTCATTTGACTGTGCGGGGACTGTTGACTTGCTTTCCTGTCACGGATCGGCACTGGCTTCCCCTGTGCTTTCGTCTACACAGGCTGCTCTGTATATGTCTGTAAATCGATCAAAAGTGGGACAGAGTGAAAGAGGTTCCTTGAACTTTGTGCAGTTGGTTTTCAACACAGTGCCATAAGCCACCTGCTCTGGAAGTGGGAGCTGTCTAGGTTCTGCAAATATGTGGACAGTGCAAGAATTTGCCACACTCTTATGATCTACTATTATCTGAGCTTTAAAGCTACATGAATTATTTTTCCCAGCAATATTAGGTTAGTCTAAATTAGTTTGACACATTCATATTTATTCCCAAATGGATTTTCTAAAGAATAGTGTTGAGTTGTGCAAATAATCATATTGCTGAATGCTCAGACCCTTGCATGTCTGTTTAGCCACATATAAGGTTTAGTGTCTACAGTAAACATGTAAGGTCTGGTGTCATCAGACAAGATCAGGGCTGGTTTGTGTTGTGTAGGTGAGTTTTCCCACATACCTCCTTCTGTAGCATGATAAAAGGGACTTTGGCTATGGATCCAGGACCTGCTGAGTAGATCTATTGGATGCAAAACATCTATATGGCCACTCTTGACTCTGTGTTCAAGCAAAAACCAACATTCCTACTTGTTTTCTACACAAAGAGTTCATGTTAATTTGTTTCCTCATTCCCTCACCAAAATCACCCACATCACTCAGAGATAAATCAGCTCACATAGGTAGATTCGAGTATACAGAACTTTCTAGATTCTTGCAGTTGACATTGGAACTCCGTTTCCACAGTATTTGGGGAAGAGCTTCATGGATGTGTCATTTTCTTCATATCTTTTTTTATCTATTGATTGAATCATTGGAAATTAACAGTCGTTAGTATTTGTCACAGGCTGCATATGAGAGGAAGTAATTTTAGTTAAGGTTGTGTGAAACGTTCCTTGTGAGCATTTCCATAAAACATTTTATGAGGGATGTGAAATGTGAATTTATTCTTAGAGAATTTAGAGTAGTTAACTTTCAACTAAATATGTCCTAGGCTTTCTCATCTATGTGTATCACCAATGCCTTTAAGTTTTCTGCTTCATCTCTTTTGTAACTTCGTGTTATTAGATATGCTGTCCACATACATATGAAAGTTGGGGCTTTTGGCATTGTCAACACCTCTGGTATAGCTGTTTACAAACAGAATAGAGGTGGAAAGTTAATGGTAGAAACAGGAATTATGCCAGTCCTTAAGGAAGAAGCCGTCCATGGTACCACAGAAAGTTGTAAAGGATTTTCCTATGCCTCTCCAGCCCCAATCGTGGGTGTAGAACCATGGAAAGGGGAAAATGAAATGTCTATGCATGATTGTCTTAGAAGCATGAATCATAATTTTCAGAAAGTGAAAACATCTGATATACTGAAATAATAAATGTACAAACAAAACATGGTCCAGGGGTGTGGACAAGGAGAATAAGAAAAATAGTGAATGAGGTTAGGGTTTGCTGTTTGAAAAAAAATAAAGCATGCTTCAAAATAATGTTGATGATTACTTGACAGTGTGAACATAGCCAATGCCACTGATGGAAAAATTTATAGTACATGCAGTTTAATAAATTTCCAAAAATGTTAGTGAGAGGTACAACCATTTATTAGGCATTTTAATGATAGCTTTAAATACTACAGTCCAATCGTAGAGGACTTATTAGAAATTAGCACCAAATGAATGATCAAGATGAGTTTCGCAGAAATGATAGTAGGAACTAATGTCTCACATTTCAACTTTATAATGTGTGAGAAAATAAATCATTCTTCTTCTCATTGGTCTTCCTAAAGAGCTACGTGTGCTCTATTCAAATGCCAATTGCTTTACTTGTGATTTAATGTAAATAATCACATCATTCTATGTAAACACAACCTCAATGTTTGGACTTAATTATCCCTTTATACATTAAAAAAAACCCAAAGCTTAAATTCATTTTTAGTCCAGCTATGACCACACTAATCTTGTCCCATAATTACCCTGAAGTCTGTAAACTCCCTACCAATCTCCCCTCTAGTGAACTTCCTGTTATGTAAGGTAGCAAGTGAAAGAACAGGTCACAAACAAATCGTGCAAAGGGTGCAATTTACACCTGATCAGTTGGTAAAAACTGATTTAGAACATTTATGGGAGGAATAATCTCAAAACTCTTAGCATAAATATTGCTTAAAGTCTATTTTTTCTCACTTTTTACATCATAGGTCCCTTGACGAGAAAGAACTATGGTACATAGTCCTTCTAAGGTATTTTCCAGTGTTCGTATCTGATTTCATTAGTGATAAAGAAATGGTAGTCTCTGCAGCCCAGTGACCACAGAGCAACACCCTTTTCTGTAATAGAATTGTCAGGCTCTCTCTCTGAGCCACTGCTAGATGCTCTCTTCCTGCTGCTACAAGCTGTTAGTTAAACTGCATATTTTGTTCAATTGTTTTATTTAATTTTTTTTCATTTTTCATATCGACCCCAGTTCTGCCTTTCTCCTTTTCTCCCAGCTCCTCACCTCCCCCTCCCTGCCCCCATATTCTCCTTAGAAGGGATAAAGCCTCCTTTGGGTAGTAACCAAGTCTGGCATACCAAGTTGAGGGAGGACCAAGCCCCTCCCACCTGAATCAAAGCCAAGCAAGGTTTACCACCACAGGAAATGGGCTCCAAGAAGCCAGTTCATGCACCCATGATACGTCCTGGTTCCGTTGCTAAGGGTCCCCCAACAGATCAAACCATGTAACTGTTACCCACATTCAGAGGACCTTGTTTGGTCCAAAGTAGGTTCCCCAGTTGTGAGTCCAGAGTCCATGAGGTCCCACTAGCTCAAGTCAGCTGTCTCTGTGGTTTTCCCCGTCATAATCTCTACCCTACCTTGCTCATATTATCCCTCTTTCTTCCCTTCAACCTAACTTGAGGGGCTGAGCCCAGTGTTTGACTGTGGGCCACTACATCTGTTTCCATCAGTTACTGGATGGAGATTCTATGGCGACAATTAGGGTAGTCACTAATCTGATTACAGGGGAAAACCTGTTCGGGCATCCTCTCCACTACTGGCTAGGAGCCTTAGTTGGTGCCATTGTGGATCCTGGGAATTTCCCTAGCACCAGATTTCTCACTAATCCCATAATAGCTCCCTCTATCAAGATATCTCTTTCACTACTCTTCCTTTCAGTCTCTCCCCCACTAAGCCTTCTTGCTCCCTTATGTTCCCATCTCCCATCTCCTCCCTTCTATCCCCTCCCAGTACCTAGGAGTTCTTAACCATTTCTCCTTCCTGGGACCCTCTGTGTGTGTGCCTTTTATCGTTCTCCTTTTTATCTAGCTTCCCTGGGGATGGTAGATTGCAGCCTGGTTATTCTTTGGTTTATGTCTAATATCCACTTATGAGTGAGTACATACTGGGTTTGTCATTCTGGGCCTGAGTTACCTCACTCAGAATTTTTTTCCCTAGCTCCATCCAAAGAATCATCAGGGAAAAGCAAATATAAATGACTCTGAGATACCATTTTACACCTATCAGAATGGCTAAGATGACAAAACACTGATGACAGATTATGCTGGAGAGGGTGTAAAGTAATGGAACACTCCTCCAATGCTGGTACAAGTGCAAACTTGAACAACCACTTTGAAAATTATTATGGTGGTTTATCAGAAAATTGTGAATCAACCTCACAGCCCAGCAATATCACTCTTGGTGTCATATACCTAAAGGATGTGTAGTCAGTCATACCCCCAAAACATTTGCTCAACCATCTTCATAACAACATTATTTGTAATAACCAGAGCCTGGAAACAACCTAGATGCTCCTGACCCAAAGAAGGGATTTGTGGTACACTTACAAAATGGAGTACAACTCAGCAGTAGATAAAGCAATGACATTCTGTTCACATGTTGAGAAGGTTCTGGTTTCCATGATCATTCTTTCCTCCTCTTAAGCCTGCACATTGGTGTAAAAAGTTCTCTCCAGACATCTGTTAGATTCACTCTTCTTGGTAGAGGTTACTCTGTCCTGCATTTCATACACACTCACAGCACCTGAAGCTAACTATCCTGGAACTAATGGTTTTGGTCCTTTCCGTATAGGCCAAACTTTTGCTGTCAAGATTTCCTTCCTAAACTCACATCTCACAACAATCTGCGATCTTCCAAGCCAGATCTTTTTGATGAAATATTTTCACCTGTTTCTCAATCTACATTTCATTACTGAGTTTACACATTGACAACAGATTATACAAGACAACAGATGAGAATATTGACGATAATTGACTTGAAGGCAAGCTACTGGTCCTTCACTTTACTGTGCTTTTTTGTTGCTTTTGAATAGACGCCTTTCTGAATCCTTGACGATTAAGAGAAAGGAGATTGCATGGCAGCCATTCTCCAAGGACATTCCAGGCTCAGCCAGTGCATGTGCATGTAAGATCAAAACAGACATTTGGTGATGTACAGGCTGAAAAAGAAAGGGAGAATGATGAGGGATAATGTGGGGGGGGCAAAAAAAGAGAGGGAGATGGAGAAGGAAAGATTAAGATTTTAGATAGTATGATGTGGAAAATGTGTATGTGTTTGTCATGTATATGCCTTTGTACATGTGAAAGGTACTAAGAATATTATATAGGAAGACTAAGTTGAGTTAGCTACAGTTCCTAAACTTAAAATAAGTAGTTCAGAGCAAATTACAAATGCTGCAGAATTTAATTTCTAAAGAACATGTGATTTGCTAAGATTAAAGCATTTTGTTTATTCAAACATATTTATAAGTATACAGGTAGAGAGAATACCACATACTACTGTTACATATTTACCTATTTGATAATGTTTTCCCCCTTTATCTTGTCCTTGACTTTTTCTTGCTCTTTGACTCTCTCTGTGCATTCCTACCCCTGCTTTTGAAGATCAGATACATGATCATGGCTCTATATTGTGCTCTCCTTGGGAATTTTCTAGACATAAGGATATTTTTCTATATAATGGCAGTTTAATAATCACATTTATAAATTTAACATTGCTGTGTGTGTGTGTGTGATTGTGAGAGCACGGTGTTGAAGATAAAATTCAGAAATTCACATATGCTAGATAGTTATTGTCACACTTAATTATACACAAAACCATTAAAGTAACACATCTGTTCTTCTAATTCTTATCTTCTCCAATGTTGGCCTCTTTCTAAAACACGTTTCACTGGCAGTCAGCCATTGCAGTTAGCTACTATTTTGAATTTGGAGTGTTGAAAGGTTTTTTATTTCTAGCAGAATACCAGGATCAAATCAAGCAGAGAATATTGTTGTATAAATACAGGTGTTTTTCACCTTTTAAAGTGCTATTTTGTATTTAATATAACGAGTGTCAATATGATGCAATCTTTTGATATTGCACTAGTTCACAGAGATGTTGATAATATTTTAGTTTTATCTCATTGTTTTGTCTGACACAACAGCTTGAGGCTGCACAAAAGAATACTGAGGAAGGACACATGTAATATGTAAAGTGTTTTATGGCAAATAACATAGGCCATGAAAATGTTCTCCCCTGTTTTTCTATATCAGATTTGTTTCCAGTGGGAACCAGTGCAGACCCTTCTGCAAGTAGGTGTTTCTAACCAATGCCTGCTTGATTTAATCTACGACAAATACTTTTTGTAGAGCGTTGCTCAAGCAAAATCAACTTGATACCTTATAAAACTTAATTTAAATGAAATTCTCTTAAAAGAAGTATTTCTAACGATTTTTATCCAAGAATCTATTTCTTTTATATTTTTTTCTTGAAATAACTTTCTATACAATTTTGTGTACTTCAGGTGATTGGTAGAAGATATTTCTTCAGCTTTGTTGTCATGTGGAAAAGAGTTTATTTCTCCATTATTCATGAGATATTAAGATATTTTCAATGAGCACAGAGCATTGTTCTAAATTTTTCATTTTTAGGATTCATATTCCTTTGTGTTTCTTTGTTTTCCAATGAGCAGGCAACTATGATTCTCAATAAATGAAAATTTTTACTTTCTTTGTTCAGTCTCCACTATTTTCTCTTTGTATTTTGTCTACCAAGGTTTCGACAAATCTTTGAACTGCTTCTCTACTTCAATACACTTAACACAAATCTGCAATAATTTGGGCAAATTTGGGGCATGTTTAGCCTTTTTATCACAGTGGTTTTTTTCATGGTTTTCTTGCCTGTTCTTAAAATTTTTTGAGTGTTGTTCATAGGTCACTAATGCTTTTAATTCTTTATCTGTAGTTGGTAATGATTTTTACATCATTATTTTTATGTTCATTATTTGATAACCTAATAAAATTATACAATGAATTTTGATCATATTCACCCCAATCTCCCTATCTCATGTCCCTTATTTATTTCCTAATGCACCTGATTACTACCTACCTTACTACCTTTCTTCTTCTTCTTCTTCTTCTTCTCCTCCTCCTCCTCCTCCTCCTCCTCCTCCTCTTCTCCTTCTTCTTCTTCTTCTTCTTCTTCTTCTTCTTCTTCTTCTTCTTCTCTCTCCCTCCCTCCCTCCATCTCTCCGTCTATTCCTCCTACCCTCTCTTTTCTCCTCCCTCTCTTCCAGTTCAGTAAGTGAGTTATAATCTATTGGTTGAGCATTTTGACTTAATCTTTTATCTTGTACAGGTAATGATAAGATTAGTACACTCAGGTTTGCAAAAGACACAAGACAGCATTTCACAAAATAACCAGAAATGTTTTGAATTATTTACTTACACTGTACCCTTAATTTATTGTCATCTCAATTATGCTATTTAAAATATTCAAGGTCTGTTTTTTAAGACAAAACAACTTAAGGTTTGTGGGTTTATTTTTCTATTTATAGCCTTTTCTAGCATATTTTGGCTTAGAGTATATTTCCTTCATAACATTTAGAGTAAATTTAATAGTTGATTATTACCATAATTTGAACATGTAGGCTGTCATGAGATTGGCCTTAAAGCTTTAGAATTACTTTTATTTACCTGTTTCATTATAGGTAAAGTAATACTTTAGCTCGTAAGACTGCAATTGTAGCTCCATTTTAATATCCTTTAATACGTTCACACAAATTTTGTTAAAGTTTTTGTTTTTTTCAAAGTGCCCTATTTCCTGAAACTTTTTTGTTTTCTTGACAATAACACAATTAAGAAATGCAAAAATCCTTGGAAATATTATGTGAATCTTCAAGTGTTCCAAAAGCCATGGAAACAAATTATCTTTCAACCATGAGAGTTGGATAATGCTCAACATATCGAAAGAATTTTTTGATGTAAATACTTACTCTTAAGTTATTAGAGAGGTTTTACACAGTAATGAAAAATCAGATGTATTTATATTGTTTCTCTCTCCCTCACTGTCTTTTCCTCTTCTCCCTCTCTTTCCAGATGTCTCTTTCTCTTTTCAGTATGTTTGGTGATATATGTGCACAGGCACATATGTAACTGAATACATGTCTGTGCCAAGGTGTCTATGTGCATACAAGAAAACAATAGGCATATTTTTAGTAAATTGTAAAGAGCATTTGCTTGGAATGTGGTATGTTTCTGGAAGCATTTCTTAGTACTACACACAGTAACACACACAGACACTCACAAACACACACACACACACACACACACACAGAGAGAGAGAGAGAGAGAGAGAGAGAGAGAGAGAGAGAGAGAGAGAAAGGCAGGCAGAGAGAGAAGAATGTTGAAAGAGCCAGACATACAGACATAGATAGAGATTAGGACTTATCAGCATATCCTAACCTAGACTTCCCACTTTTCTCCTTAAATAACACTTCTACAGAGACACCTACTGATGTCATTGCCTGATCCAGAGGAAGACACCCACGTGTCCTTTCTGGGTAAATAAAATGTCCTTTGTGTTGAGAAGCTGGTGTCTTGCTGTGTTCTGTACAATCTGTGGTGCCCCTCCATTTGGTCCTATGTCTCTGAATGTGACTGGAACTGATTTACGTAATCCTCCACCCAATTATTGCACTGTCTAGACTGCTTAGTGTCTGCTCCCTTCACCCCAAAGAAGCAAATTGGTGAAATGTTTGCCTTACTAGCCATCCTAAGCACTCTCCACAACATTGGGTGATGACAGCTTAGTGTCTTTCCCACTCTCCCTTGTGGAAATGGGGAGAATACACCTCATAACAGGCTTTTCTGGGCAAGTCAGACTCCCTTGGATGGCTGGCAGACACATTTCATTCAGTTCAGCTTGACTGGTAGTATTTCTTTTGCTTTTGGATGATGTTCAACTGGAATCCAGTGTCCCAAAACTCCATCAACAGGTCAATGACTTTCTTCTGGGACTATTGTTACCCCTAATTGGTGATGGGTCTTGGGTAGCAATCCCTCCTCTCAGAGGCCCACCATGGCTGTTCCAGCTGTATAGCTCCAGGAACTTACTGGAAAAACTCCCTGCTAGAGCTTGCTTGTTCCTGGAGTTTACAATGATCACTGCTGCTGCAGTTACATTCACTCCTTCCCACCCTAAAGCTAAGCTGTCCTTTCCACTTTTGGTCCCATGGATGAGCAACCTCCCTATGGCCATCCTTCCCCATCATTAGTCATCTTCTCTCCAGCCAATTCTCTCTCCCCAACCATACCACTCATGACCCAACTCGGGCTGGGGTTCACTTTGTACTCTTCCAGATGTCTCTACCTCTGACAATGCTCTCCCCCTCCTCTCCCTCTGCTTTTATGTCCATTCTCCCCAGAGTCTGTCTACTCTGCATGCCCAAGCCCAGCAAGGAGAGTTCAGTGATCAGCATTACCATAGAGCAGCCCTCAACAACTGGTATTACACAAACTGATGATCCCAAAATATCTTATATTTTGCTTCCAACAGCTTCTCATGTCAGATTTCAACTCTTAAAAAGCTTCTAACTTCTACCTTCTCAATTTTTGCGCAATACATTTAGTGACATACACTTTTTAGCTTTCTATGTGTTTTCAAGGGTAAAGCCTAAAATCAAATATACTTACTAGATAGATGGTCCTCAAACACTTCAGGGATCTACTAAACATGGCATTTAAAATGTATAAGATTCCGAGTAGAGAGACAAATGCCCACTCCTGGAAGAACCCTATGTCTTCAAGTAAGATACAAGGGGCACAATTTCTCCTCAATTGTGGTAATACAAACCACTGAGTTAAACTGCCTCATGCCTCTCCTGCTGCCTGAACACTACTCAAACTGTATACACTATTGGGTTGATTGCAGTCAAAGGAAAAACGTGCTCTGTGTGGCAACTAAAGATTAAATGTTGTCCTGTATAACAGTTGAAGACCTATTATCACTCTCCAGCCATCAAGATCATGGAACCGCAGGTCAATCATCTAGGTAACTGGGTTTCTGTTATCTTAGTTGATGTGTAGGTAATTTAGATAATATTTCCTACTACAGTTTATCCTCCTTAGATTTCTGACAATTGCAACCAACTGTACTAAACTCACCCACACCGACCGATCTCTCTCCAGGAGCCTCACTTCTTGCTTCTTATGTCAGGTACCTTATCATGTTCCTCCTAGACACCAGGGCCACTTTTTCAGTATTAAGAAGATTCTGGGGTCCCTCTCACTCTCCTTCATCCATAGTCAGAATACATGACCAGTACTCTGGCCTCCTCTAGACCTCTCTACTAACTTGTTCTTTCAAAGGCTTCTTCTTTTCTCATTCCTCTCTCCTCTTTTCTTTATGCCTATTCATTTACTAGGAAGATTTTTCCGTTCCAAATCTTGTCTTCTATTCCAATAACAGCTCCCAAGGTACCTCTGCATCCTTCCTCCTAATTTCTTCAATCTCCATCTGTCCACTCTCTCACTCTCCTACTCCTCAAAACCCCTCATGTCCTCTGCCCTTTTTTTTAGTCAATCCTACTGTATAGGATACCACATCTCCTCCCCTTGCTGTACATCATAAATGCCTTTCTAATACACTTACAGGCCCTTCTGCCTATGTTGGCAGAGGCTGTTCTTTCTTTTGTTCCTGGCTGCTCAGACCTAAAACAATTACGCAGAAACTATATTAATTGCAATACTGTTTGGCCAATAACTTAAGCATATTGCTAGCTCGCTCTTATATCTTAATATAACCCATTTCTATTAATCTGTGTATTGGTATGAGGTTGTGGCTTTCCAGTCAAAGTTTTAGTATTTGTCTCCTCCAGCAGCTGCGTGGTGTTTTACTGACTCTGCCTTCTTTTTTTCCAGCAGTTTAGTTTTCCTGCCTAGCTCTGCTCTGCCCTATCACAGGCCAAGCCAACTTCTTTATTCATTAACCAATAAAAGCAACACGTATACAGAAGGATTCTGACATCATCTCCCCTTGTGTTTAAAAAAGAAAGGTTTTTAACTTTAATGGAGTAAAATTATATACAAAAAATGGTTATCAAGCAAGAATTACAGCTAAAATACTTATGCCTACTTTATCTTTTAACATAACTAAGAAAAACTATAATTATAACTATCTTCAGCTCCATCAAAGACCCTGGAAGGATATAATATTATCTAAGTAACCGGAAGTGCAATGTAAGCAACTTCCAAAACTCTAGAATTGACAGAGACAACTTGCTACCTGAACAGTAATCCTGTCTTCAGCTTTCAATACAGAGGAGGTACCATTGCTGTCAGTTCTGGGACTAACAGGTAAGAACTGCGCTCACTACTTTAACTCTGAGAAGACCATAAACCCTCATTATCTGAGTAAAAGCTAAATCTGCCATGCAGTGCAAACTGAGCGTCTTGGAAATACCTCTGTGTATGGCGGTGGGAATCCACAATGCTCCCCTGTTTATGCACTCCTAGCAGACCAGATCCTGCTGCCTGCCCAGGCAGGGGGCGCTGAGCTGTGGGCATTGTCTCAGCTACATTTCTCCTAACCCTGAGCAGATATACAAGCACCTTGACCCAAAGTGTGTGGTTTGCCACGTGGGTCAGCCACAATTGGTGGGACGCCATTATGTAAACCCTAATATCCCCTAACATTAGCCAGTCTCGGAGACCTCAAACTCATCATTCAGTCTTTCCTATCCAAGTGTTTTTTATGTTCCACCTCTTCATCCTACAATAACCCTGAACACATGATATCATTTGTTGGGGACTGTGGACCCCCAAACCCTGAATTTCCTGCCTGAGTAAAGAACTTGCTCTGAGCATGAGACCCTCAGGAGTTCCTGATGGCAGGAAGTGGTTTCTGGTGGGCTTGCAGCTAAGAGTTGGGGTGTGGCCTTGAGTCAAGGAGACCCTATATAAGCTGCCCAGGAACACAATAAAGGGGCATTCTTGGGCATTATTGGCTATCTCTGTGTGTGTGCTTCAATTTTCAAGCCCTTGCCCAACTCGCAAACCTTACCTTAGAGTGTAGAGCAGGCGTTGTGCTACAACCATTCTCTACCTACATACCATATTTCACCTAAATGCCAAATCCCTTATATCCTTTCTCCAAACCTACCTGGCTCACCCAGTTAGAATTCTACCCCATCATACTCCTTCCAGCTGCCCAACTCAGGACTTAATGACTTTTATACTTTCCTCTTGAGACTCTTCATCTTCTTCCTACCTCCTCCCTCACTGACCCCACCTTCAATCCTTTAGATTAATGACTCTCTTTCCTTGCTCTTTACCCTTGAACAGCAAGAAACAACCAGAAATATTGATGCCCACTTACCCAACACCCACTGAATCAATAATAAAACAAGTTTTAAATAAAAAGCTCCCTAAGAGGCCCAAGCTTTACAAACATCATACCAGCAGGTGCTGCCTTTCCACTTCCTTCTTCCTTGCATAGACATTAGATTACATTCCTAAAGCTAGCTATCAAAAGCATTCCTTTATTTAATCTCTTCCTTATGACTAACTCATTCCTGAGGCTGATAACCAAGGTCCAACAATCCAAATTCAATTTTTTTTTCCTACATGACTAACATGTCCAATCAGGTCTTACCAACTCATTCCAACACAGATTACCTCCTTTTTCTCTGGAAAAGCCACATCTACATAGATACATACTGCTGTCTTTTCCCAATACAGAAGCATCCCCCATGTCCTGACCAGCGTAAATACAACCTCATTTTTCAGAGAATTTGGTGTGTGAATGTGTTCTGTGTTCATGCCAGTACCCCTTCAGAATGAGGAAATTAAATTTTAAGGTGATGTGTCATGCAAGCACTGAAAGGAAATGTTTTATGAAGTCCTTCCCTCTGGATTTATTTCAGTACAGACAAGGATAGGGAGATGGTCTTTTATTTCCCCTTTAGGTACTATCTCCAAGAGGTTATATCTCTTACTGAAGATATATCTGATAGTTCAAAAGTAGGGTGCATAATAAATACTCCTGCATATATATCTATGTTATTATGGCAGTAGCAACTAGCTTGTATCAAGTCTCAATTTTATCAGTGTCCTTCAGGGTATTTTCTGCACATTTTCTTCCTAGTTCTGTGAGGCAGAGCCTAAACGTGAGATGCCTTGGTAAGAGAAATATATAGGTACTGTGTTCATTCTTGGCAGAGTCAGAGTGGAATTTCAATTCCTAAATTTGACTCTCTTTATACAGTGAATATTTAATATTCATGAAGCCTGATACACAGAAAATTCTCTTTCCATAATGGATTTTACAATTATAATATAAGGAGTCAGTCCTAAGTATCTTGACTTTTTACTAGAGCTGCACACGTGCTTTCTAACTAAATAAATTTATACTGTGATGAAAGCACAGCTTAGGGGAAGGAAAACTCTCAAAACATTCTCCTCTTAGCCACTCATCTATCATTAATGATAACTCATGGAGTTGGGTTCTAACTCACATGACTTCTCAGACTCCCACTTTCTTATGCAAGTTGCTATCTATTATGTTTATAATGCAACAACTATTTTAATTT